TTTGTTAGAAATTACTAATTGTTTCATTATTTAATATGCAGAAAATTTATCAAATCTGTTATCCAAGGTTTTCTTCCTGGCATTGTATTGAAGCTCTTCCTTATCTTCCTGCCAACAATATTGATGATCATGTCTAAGTTTGAAGGCTTTGTATCTCTATCATCTTTGGAAAGGAGATCAGCAACGAGATACTATATTTTCCTCATTATCAATGTATTCCTAGGGAGCATACTCACTGGAGCCGCATTTGATCAACTAAATTCTTTTATTAATCAGTCTGCCAATGAGTATGTTACTCTCACTTTTTTATCAAATATATTGTCTTCAGTATTTAATTACTCTACAAGGGTGTATGCATATTTAAGGGAACTTGATTGCATTAGGGTGAGCGGTAATGTATGCTGTAAGAGCCAAAAATTGTCGGTAGTGTTAATGGGCAAGGAATGTTATTTTCTATGTTTGAAGGTTTGTCCGTGGGATGTGCCTCCTTCAAAGGTCTTCCATTAACATATATTTTATTGACTGTAAATTTTTTTATCCTCCAATCAGTAATTTATTTTATTCTCACTTTTCATCAATCTAGAATCCTTTTATACTTGACTGATTTGATAGACTGTTTATTCATGATTTCTTCCCTTTTCCTGGTATGGAACCCGCTACGTGAATATGTTTTTCATTTTATCATCTACAACTTCCCTTAAGTTTTTATTATATTTTTCTTCTTTTCTCATTTCTTCATTTATTTATGCGGCAGAATTCCTAAAACAATTGGTGTAGCTGTTCCAATGAAAGCAACTTTCTTCATAACCTATATAATGGTTGACGGATGGGCTGGCATAGCCGGAGAAGTTTTAATGTTGAAACCACTGGTACTCTACCACTTGAAAAATTTCCTTTTGGTGAAGACTGAAAAGGACAGGGAAGAGGCAATGGATCCTGGAAGTCTCGGTTTTAACACCGGTGAACCCCGTATACAATTATATTTTCTGCTAGGGCTTGTATATGCCACAGTGACACCAGTTCTCCTTCCATTCATAATTATTTTCTTTGCCTTCGCCTTTGCAGTGTTCCGTCATCAGGTAACAAGTTGATACTATTGGTTATATGATGTTCAATCCAAGAACAATTCAGTTGCATATGGTTAATGCCTTGTGCCAACTAAATGTTCAAAACTTGGAAGATTTACTGGACCCAAGTTCAGTGCAATTGGATACAATTTATTCATCTTTTCCCTATCTTTTCCCTATTCAGATCATAAATGTTTACAACCAAGAGTATGAAAGTGGTGCAGCATTCTGGCCTGATGTCCATGGGCGTGTTATTACTGCACTAGTAATCTCGCAGCTGGCTCTGATGGGACTGATGAGTACAAAAGAAGCTGCACAGTCAACACCATTCCTCATTGCTCTCCCTGTCCTCACTATATGGTTTCATATGTTCTGCAATGGACGCCACAAATCTGCATTTGTCAAATATCCATTACAGGTGATTTGTGTGTCTCTGCATACTGTGTGAGTTGATGCTTTTTGTTTGCTTTGATTTTTCTGTACTCCCTTGTTTGCTTTCAATTGATTTGCCTGCATAATACTGATAATTTCTTATATGAAATTATGAATTTATTTTAGTATATCATCTGCATATGTGTCAATAATTTGTTACAAACTCAGGTTATGTTCTATGGATCAAAAAGTTTTGTTTCGTTAACACGACACCTTTCAAGTTAATTCAAGTTATTTAGATTGTAGCAAAATAAGTCAAAAGCTGCACTTGCAAACTACTAATCTTGTCTTGAACCATGGTTTTCAGGAAGCAATGATGAAAGATACCCTGGAACGAGCAAGGGATCCGAACTTTAATCTGAAAGCCTACCTTCAGAGTGCTTATGTTCATCCAGTTTTCAAAGTTGATGATGATGATATTGATGAAGACGACCTTCTGAGCGGAAAGATGGAAACTGAGAGTGTCTTAGTGCCTACAAAGCGCCAATCACGAAGAAATACACCAGCACCAAGCAAAATCAGCGGGGGATCCTCACCATCTTTGCCCGAGACAGTTAAAAATGGAGAGCCATGAAACAGAGATCGTTAAATATGACACGTGCATGACCACACCTCGCTGTACATTAGACACAATCCATTGCCAGGAGTCAGTGATCTGTTGTAAACTTAACGAGTCAAGATAGCAAAGTTCGTTCTATAGAGAGAAAGGGAAGAAGGGCCTGCTGAAATTTCTGAAACGAAATAAAGTTCTGGATTTTGTGGCAACGAATGGCCCTTCATACTTCAAAGACAGATGTAGATGAATGTTAGCATGTTAAAGAGTAGATATTGTGTGGATTTCTAAATGTTGGTTTACACAACTATACATGTTGGTCGCCGTATTCAATGAAAAGATCTCCTCCTCATAGCTTGGGCTCTTCTATACGTTGCTGCATTGCCCTGTGTGAAATGGTACAAAAGACACCCAGCAACTAGGCACTCGTTCAAGAGCATAGAGGCAAACCTACGCTACACAAGGGCAATCTAGTCCCCACACTCTTCAAACAAGGCACTCGTTCACAAGAGCATTTCTAATGAAAAATGTTATTTTAAAAAATTAAATTAATAAAATAGCATTTTAAATAGTATAAATATAGTTTAATTTATTATATCTATTTTATTAATTTAAAAAAACCATTTGAAAAAAATAATTAAAATATTAATTTTTTATTTTTTATTATCCATTTATCTTCTCCAATGCTCAATAAGCATACAGGCACCCTACTCCACACAAGGGCAATCCAGTCCCACTCTCTTCAAACACGTTGGGGCCAGGTCACTTACCCACCTAACACGTAGCCAAATTCGCAAGAATAAAATATGACCCTTGAAAAATTTAATTTTTTTTTCCTTATGTTTTTCCTTGAACGTCATAAAAAACATTTAGTAAACCAAAAGAAAAGTAATAAAAAAGGAAAAATAATTTGAGAATAAATTCATTTAAAAACGAAATTAATACCGACACAACATAATATCATATAGCATTGTTTTAATAATAATATTCTCTATTAATATGAAACTCTTTTAATAATATTTTCACTAGATTGAGAAATAGAATGAACGTAGAAGTTGAGGGATTGAATTGAAACGAAAGACTGTAAAAGGATTAAAATGAAACAAGAATGAAAACTAGGGTGATCAGAAAACACAATCTCACCTCTATTATTTAACAAATCCCACCAATCATCATTTTAATTGGATCGTGAAACACAGCCTCTCGAAAAGCGCGTGAAAGAATACCATTTTTTCGGTTCCAAATCGACAAAGTAGCTGTTAGAAAGAGCACTTGGCAACTTGCGAACATGTTGTTGTTTTCTTACGAGTACTCTTCCATGTCTTCACTTGAGTTGTTCTGTTTTTCTCGTAAGCACAAAAGAATCGTCACTTATAGTAGTTTTTTTTCAATTAAGTCCCTTGATTTTAACGTCATGCAATTTAAATATACAATGTTTCTTGAACTGACAATCAAGTTCCTCAATCACATTTGTTGAGGAACTTGATTAGGATGTGAATTTGAGATAATTTTCATAAGCTGGTTTTTGAGAGTATAGTTATAAGTGTTTTTTAAAATATTTTTTATTTTTTAAAATTATTTTTTACGTTAATGTATCAAAATGATATAAAAAATACCAAAAACATATAAATTTAAAATAAAGTAAAAAAATATATAAAAATTCAATTTTTTTATAAACACTTTTAAAATATAAAAAAAAAACAAAATAGAAGTGTATTTTGAGCATCAAAATAAAGCTACCAATAAGATTCATATATTTTAAATTTATTTGAGTTTCGACTCTTTTTCCAGAGGAAAATAATGATATACTTTCACAATTATAATAGCTTTATCATTTTTTTTTCAATGTAAAATGTAATATTTTTAGATTTTCTATTAATCACTTAATTAAATCTTAGAAAGAAACATGCAGAAAAGTATCATAAGTTCTATGAATATAAATAAAGAAATTTAGAAATAAAATAAATAATATGTTTTTTTTTAATTTGACCTTAATGCGCAAAAACATCTATAACCAATACAGGAGACGTATAGAAGTGTGAAAATAATTGTTTTTTAAAATATTTTTTGTTTAGAAATATATCATAATAAATTTTTTATTTTTTAAAAAATAGTGTTAAATAAAAAATAAAAAACAATTGATGAAAAAAAAAAGTTGAAACACCCCGTTAAACATACCCATAATACAAATAAATATATAAAAAATTACAGATTTTAATCCTGTATTAAAACCAATATAATTCCATGATTACTGTTTATACATGTATTTTTCTTAGTCCCAATCAGTATATAAGATAAAATAAAAAAGATATATCCTATGTTGAAATTGAGCCATGGGATCCCTTTTGTTTTAAAAAGAAAATGCACCTTTTTGGGCCAATTACCAATCATTTTTCACTTTATTTCCTTTTCTGGTATCCCAAAGTTTTGTTTGTGTATGACATAATATAGTTTCATGAGGCTATTTCAAAATTGAAAATTGCAATTTCCTCTTTATATTTTGTAAGCTGGCATAGGATAGTAATGGGACACCACAAATAACCACTCACAATTAGACGACTACTAAATTTTAACAAGACACACCTTCTTATATTTGTGCTTGTAATATTTTTTAATGTTGTAATTTTTTTATAAAAAATAGATTTTAAAAAATACTTTTAGTTTTATTTTAAAAAATATGTTAAAACATATATATTTGTTTAAAATTATTAAAATTATTATTTTAATATATTCTTATTTAAAAAATACTTAAAAAAACATGCACTGTTATAAACTCGGCTTACCAAACTGTTTGTTCCGTCTTGTTTGGGTGGGGTAGGAAGCTACCATGGTACCAAACGGTATTTTAATAGCCTTTAGGGACTAAGATGAAATAAGCGTGACAATCTCAGTACTGGATTGTAGTTCTTCATTTGTCGAGTCGAGCTGAGAAAAAGAGCAGCCTTTTTTAACACTACAAAGAAAGATAGCCCGAAATGGAATGCGTTATTCGAAACAACGTGAAAGTGAAATCTCCACTCTCCATTTTTCTTTAGTGTCTTCATCTTCTTCTTGTGCTATATATTCCCATTTTTGGACCAGACCCTTTGATGTGTATTTATTATTATAAGAATTACTTCTTGAAGGCGGGGGTGGTAGCGTGCTAGCTACTTGTTCCTCAAAAGGAGAGGAATCATTCTGTTCACTTTGTTAAGCGGAAAAATTTTCCAAACATTTGTTAATTCAATTGCTCAGCATTTTTTTTTTTGAAGATTGAGAGGTCAATATAGCATTGGAGATAAGGAAAGAAGCTGGTTAATAGTAAGCAAATTATTTGTTTTTGAGATCCTTTTCTTTACCTTTTGGGTTGATTTTTTTTCCTTTTTTTGATATGTTTTCTGGGTTCTGGTGTGTGCAATAGTTGTTGAATTGTGACCCTAATTTTGTGTTTGATTAGGACTGGTTTAATTTTTATTTATTTGCTTTGTATGTATAAAAAGACGATCTTTTTGAGATTTTACTCGATAAGTTGTTATCTTTTGACGTTTAGGTGTGTTTTTCGTTGAAAGGAGCCATTGGATGTTAAATATAGTGGTTGAATTTTTAAAATGTTTTTTTAAATTTGCTTGAGAAGTTGTTTGTTTTTAATGTTTTATGTAAGGGTTTTGTTTTGCTTTGTTTTTTTTTTTTCGGTTGAAGGTATAAATGGCAACGCTCGCAGATATAACGGTTTCCGGAGCTATAAATGTACTGAGTGCATTCATTTTCTTATTGGCGTTTGCAATTTTGAGGCTGCAACCTCTCAATGATAGAGTTTACTTTCCAAAATGGTATCTGAAGGGCGTAAGAGGCAGTCCCTTGCGCTCTGGGGCGCTTGTTCGTAGGGTTGTGAATTTAGACTTCAGGTCATATATCCGGTTTTTAAATTGGATGCCGGAAGCGCTTAAAATGCCGGAGCCCGAGCTTGTTGATCATGCAGGATTGGATTATGCTGTTTACTTGCGCATTTACTTGATGGGGTAATCCATTTTCCTTTTGTTTCTCGCTCCTTTTCTATTCTCATTTGTTGATGAAAGATTGGATGCTGTACTTGTGCTGTCTAGATGTTTCTGAAAATGTTTATGTCATTTGTTATTATGTGCTGAGCTCGATTTTGTTGCCTACGCAGACTTAAGATTTTTGTACCTTTAACATTCCTTGCTTTGGCTATCCTGGTGCCAGTCAATTACACCAATAATGCTCTAGAGGCAGTCAAGATGGTGGCCAACGTGACTGCTAGTGACATTGACAAGCTTTCAATTTCGAATATACCACTTAAATCACAAAGGTAGAAAGCCATCCTCCTTTGCTAACTTCTGCTTCCTTGTCATCTCCGAGTTTTGATGAATCTTGATATTTTCAGATATTTTTACCACAATTATCTTACTATCTTATATAGCATAATGACCATTTATGGATAACTCGATGCATATATTATTCTGTATCTGTAGAATATTTATTAATTGCTAATTTATCAAAACCAAGAGTAATTGTTTTCCACAAGACAATCATGCATTGTCTATTTCTGTGTGAACATATCCTACCATCTTCTACTTCTAGGAATATCTGCTCCTTTTCTTTTTCATTGTGCTCCTATAGTTATATTAATTGCATTGCAGATTTTGGACGCATATAGTGATGGCTTATGCCTTTACTTTCTGGACATGCTATGTGTTGCTTAGGGAGTATGAGATAGTTGCTTCGATGAGGTTGCAATTTCTTTCCTTGGAAAGACGTCGTCTAGATCAATTCACAGTAAGATGAACTATTTTCCTTTTTTATTTTATTTTTTGAATGTTTTTCCAGAGAAGTCGTTTTTGGAGAAGAAACTATGTGTTTTTGGGATCTGCACACTTCTTGATTATAACCTTTAAGAGTTCCAAATGGTTTGGACTTGAGTGGGTTGAAAAAAGACATACAACTTTTGCAAGAATGAAGTTCTGTGGAATATATGACTCATGCACTTTTAAATTCATAGGTGGCATAGCTACTGAGATCAATGTAGTCAACTATGTCTCTCCCACAACTTGGTTAGCTACCTCTCATTTTGTTCTCGGGTTCTTCCTATTCGTAGGTCATTTATGGCATGTGGAAGGGCTCATGCAGCTGCCACTGGATTTGAAAAAGGAATTGATCGTGATTTTGAGCTTGTTTTTTCCATGACTCCTCTTAACTAGTTAAGAAAAGAGATCCAATAGTTGAAGAAGGAATCCATTTGATTTTACTATGCATATTGATCGGGTCAATCATATCATGCTTTGAGAGTCTGCCTTTTTCCTTCAACCTCGAGCTCGTTCCTTAATTTCCCTTTGAAAAAATACATGCCATTTAATTTTTATGAAATCTTTTGAAACTGGCACGGGTTGTTAGTCCTAAAAAATGAGCTGAATTTGTTTGTCTAACAGTCACTTTCATCTTTGCTTAATGTTTTAGTGCAAATTCTAGCTACCCATCTTTCTCCATCCTTTTCCTATTCAAGAAACTAATCATGAGTTCACTCTTCCCAGGTCCTTGTTAGGAATGTACCTCCTGATCCAGATGAAACTGTCAGTGAGCTCTTGGAGCACTTTTTTCTAGTGAATCACCCAGATCATTACCTCACTCATCAGGTATGTTCCTGCTCAAACATAATTTATATCGTGATTAATCTTTGGTAGAAAGCTATGAATTTGATTGATGATATCATGAAATAATTCACATCAGTTTTGTTGTGCAAAATATAGGAAACCATTTGTTCAAATGTGTATGGTAGGCATCATGTGGATCAATAGGTGCTACTGGTATTTGATAAATTATACATCTTCAATGATTTTAAGTAACATTATGAGACATTCACTTGAATGCATTTGATCATAGCTTTTCCATATGTGCAAACGCTTGCCAGCTTCCATAAGTAAACTGCTTCCCTCAGCAATTGCTTGTTCTTTTCATGTTCTTGTCCTAATTTTATCTCTGGTGGTTTTGATGATCTATTGCAAACCTTAAAGTTTGATTGCGTCAAGTGCCAATTTTTATTCCAGAACTCATTGAATTGAAAATGTTTTATTTCACAGGAGTTGTGTCTGATTTGGAATGTTGAAAACCTTATAGTTAATTGCTTTAAATGCCAACATTTTCTTGTTTCTATTTGTGGCTGCGTAACAGTGTCACATTCCATGCTGGACATAGAGACTTCATTCTTTCCAAATAGCAATTTAACAGAGAGTTGCTCCAATTAACTATGCATTTATTGTCTTTGGACTCATAAAAATGATAAAAAAGAAGTGCTAGGATTTTTTATTTGTTGAACTAAGAATGTGCACCTCCACGTGTTTTTTATGAGTATGTTTATTGCTGAGGTGATTTGTGTAAAATGTTGTTGTCATAAAGAACACAATTTTCTTGACTAGGTGAGTGTTGCAGCTCTTCCTAGCCTTTCTTTATTTGAATTAAACAGCAAGGGATAGGGAAAAGGTTTGGTGGGTTGAGGAGGCAACATGATCTATTGAGTGGCTTTAAATGGACCTTTTACTTGTTGGAGTATTCATTAAACCCTCAACCCTCACACTTTCTTATGCACCTGAAATTCTAGGATAGTTTGTACTTCAATTTGTAAATTTTTGTCTTATAAAAGTTTTAATGCAGGTGGTGTGCAATGCCAACAAACTAGCCAGCTTGGTCAAGAAGAAGAAAAAAAGGCAGAACTGGCTTGACTACTACCAACTCAAGTACTCCAGGACTCAATCGCGGAGGCCTCAGATGAAGGTAGTTCTCAAAATGCAATCTGATATATCTTAAGAAGTTACTGCCTCTTGTCCAAATCTACTGCCTGTTACTTTTGCCTAAACCTAATTTTTGTTTAGACCTCAACTCTTATGGTTATTGGATGTTTCAGACTGGTTTCCTTGGGCATTTTGGGGGAAAAGTGGATGCAATCGATCATCACATATCAGAGATTGAGGAACTGTCACAAGAAGTAAGCCTCTAGCACCAATTTCTTGTCTAAATTCCCTGATCTTTCAAAAATTTTGAACCTTTTGTTTTATCATCTTTGTTATGCATATACATCTGGAACCTCTTTTTCAAAAGTCCAAGTAGTTTATTAGTTGGTTTTAGGCTCACTCTAATGTTGGTGGGTTGAGGAGGCAACATGTGTACCACACATGATCTATTGAGTGGCTTTAAATGGACCTTTTACTTGTTGGAGTATTCATTAAACCCTCACACCTTCTTATGCATCTGAAATTCGAGGATAGTTTGTACTTCAATTTGTAAATTTTTGTCTTATAAAAGTTTTAATGCAGGTGGTGTGCAATGCCAACAAACTAGCCAGCTTGGTCAAGAAGAAGAAAAAAAGGCAGAACTGGCTTGACTACTACCAACTCAAGTACTCCAGGACTCAATCGCGGAGGCCTCAGATGAAGGTAGTTCTCAAAATGCAATCTGATATATCTTAAGAAGTTACTGCCTCTTGTCCAAATCTACTGCCTGTTACTTTTGCCTAAACCTAATTTTTGTTTAGACCTCAACGCTTATGGTTATTGGATGTTTCAGACTGGTTTCCTTGGGCATTTTGGGGGAAAAGTGGATGCAATCGATCATCACATATCAGAGATTGAGGAACTGTCACAAGAAGTAAGCCTCTAGCACCAATTTCTTGTCTAAATTCCCTGATCTTCCAAAATTTTGAACCTTTTGTTTTATCATCTTTGTTATGCATATACATCTGGAACCTCTTTTTCAAAAGTCCATGAAGTGTATTAGTTGGTTTTAGGCTCACTCTAATGAGTTAGAGATGCTGCATATTCTCACCAATTATTATTTGCATTACCACTCTAATTTGGGTCCTGGATCGTTTTGTTATTATTCAGATAGAAGAAGAGAGGACAAGGGTTTTAAAGGATCCAAAGTCTATCATGCCAGCAGCATTTGTTTCATTCAAGACTCGATGGGGTGCAGCTGTGTGTGCACAAACTCAACAATCAAGAAATCCAACTTTGTGGTTAACAGAGTGGGCTCCGGAGCCACGAGATATATATTGGAAAAACTTAGCCATTCCGTACATGTCACTCAAAGTTAGGAGGCTGATAATTGGAGTTGCATTCCTTTTACTTACCTTCTTTTTCATAATACCTATTGCATCTGTACAAGCTCTAGCAAGTATTGAGGGAATAGAAAAAAGAGCCCCTTTTCTGAAGTCTGTTATCGAAATGTACGTTTCTTCCATCACAGTGCCTTCTAACTTAGTTGCAAGTTTTCTTTGTTAGAAATTACTAATTGTTTCATTATTTAATATGCAGAAAATTTATCAAATCTGTTATCCAAGGTTTTCTTCCTGGCATTGTGTTGAAGCTCTTCCTTATCTTCCTACCAACAATATTGATGATCATGTCTAAATTTGAAGGCTTCATATCTCTATCATCTTTGGAAAGGAGATCAGCAACGAGAAATTCTATTTTCCTCATTATCAATGTATTCCTTGGGAGCATACTCACTGGAGCTGCATTTGAACAGCTAAATTCTTTTATTAAGCAGTCTGCTAACGAGTATGTTACTCTTACATATTGATTAAATATTCATGTCGTCATTATTTAATTACTCCATTAGGGTGTATGCATAATTAAGTATGAATGTGTGTTCATAGCATGTGCCTTCAAAGGACTTCCAATAACATATATTTTATTAACAGTAATTTTTTTTAATCCTCCCATCAGTGATTTATTTTTTTATCTCACTTTTCATTAATCTAGAATCCCATTATACTGACTGATTTGATAGATATTCCCATATTCATGATTTCTTCCCTTTTCCTGATTGAAGCTCATAGGGTCTACATGAATATGTTTTCATTTTATCATCTACAACTTCCCTTAAGTTTTTATTATATTTTTCTTCTTTTCTCATTTCTTCATTTATTTATGTGGCAGAATTCCTAAAACAATTGGTGTAGCTGTTCCAATGAAAGCAACTTTCTTTATAACCTATATAATGGTTGATGGATGGGCTGGGATTGCTGGGGAAGTGTTAATGTTGAAACCACTGATATTCTACCACTTGAAAAATTTCCTTTTGGTGAAGACTGAAAAGGACAGGGAAGAGGCAATGGATCCTGGAAGTCTCGGTTTTAACACCGGTGAACCCCGTATACAATTATATTTTCTGCTAGGGCTTGTATATGCCACAGTGACACCAGTTCTCCTTCCATTCATAATTATTTTCTTTGCCTTCGCCTTTGCAGTGTTCCGTCATCAGGTAACAAGTTGATACTATTGGTTATATGATGTTCAATCCAAGAACAATTCAGTTGCATATGGTTAATGCCTTGTGCCAACTAAATGTTCAAAACTTGGAAGATTTACTGGACCCAAGTTCAGTGCAATTGGATACAATTTATTCATCTTTTCCCTATCTTTTCCCTATTCAGATCATAAATGTTTACAACCAAGAGTATGAAAGTGGTGCAGCATTCTGGCCTGATGTCCATGGGCGTGTTATTACTGCACTAGTAATCTCGCAGCTGGCTCTGATGGGACTGATGAGTACAAAAGAAGCTGCACAGTCAACACCATTCCTCATTGCTCTCCCTGTCCTCACTATATGGTTTCATATGTTCTGCAATGGACGCCACAAATCTGCATTTGTCAAATATCCATTACAGGCGATTTGTGTGTCTCTGCATACTGTGTGAGTTGATGCTTTTTGTTTGCTTTGATTTTTCTGTACTCCCTTGTTTGCTCTCAATTGATTTGCCTGCATAATACTGATAATTTCTTATATGAAATTATGAATTTATTTTAGTATATCATCTGCATATGTGTCAATAATTTGTTACAAACTCAGGTTATGTTCTATGGATCAATAAGTTTTGTTTGGTTAACACGACACCTTTCAAGTGAATTCAAGTTATTTAGATTGTAGCAAAATGAGTCAAAAGCTGCACTTGCAAACTACTAATCTTGTCTTGAACCATGGTTTTCAGGAAGCAATGATGAAAGATACCCTGGAACGAGCAAGGGATCCGAACTTTAATCTGAAAGCCTACCTTCAGAGTGCTTATGTTCATCCAGTTTTCAAAGTTGATGATGATGATATTGATGAAGACGACCTTCTGAGCGGAAAGATGGAAACTGAGAGTGTCTTAGTGCCTACAAAGCGCCAATCACGAAGAAATACACCAGCACCAAGCAAAATCAGCGGGGGATCCTCACCATCTTTGCCCGAGACAGTTAAAAATGGAGAGCCATGAAACAGAGATCGTTAAATATGACACGTGCATGACCACACCTCGCTGTACATTAGACACAATCCATTGCCAGGAGACAGTGATCTGTTGTAAACTTAACGAGTCAAGATAGCAAAGTTCGTTCTATAGAGAGAAAGGGAAGAAGGGCCTGCTGAAATTTCTGAAACGAAATAAAGTTCTGGATTTTGTGGCAACGAATGGCCCTTCATACTTCAAAGACAGATGTAGATGAATGTTAGCATGTTCAAGAGTAGATATTGTGTGGATTTCTAAATGTTGGTTTACACAACTATACATGTTGGTCGCCGTATTCAATGAAAAGATCTCCTCCTCATAGCTTGGGCTCTTCTATACGTTGCTGCATTGCCCTGTGTGAAATGGTACAAAAGACACCCAGCAACTAGGCACTCGTTCAAGAGCATAGAGGCAAACCTACGCTACACAAGGGCAATCTAGTCCCCACACTCTTCAAACAAGGCACTCGTTCACAAGAGCATTTCTAATGAAAAATGTTATTTTAAAAAATTAAATTAATAAAATAGCATTTTAAATAGTATAAATATAGTTTAATTTATTATATCTATTTTATTAATTTAAAAAAACCATTTGAAAAAAATAATTAAAATATTAATTTTTTATTTTTTATTATCCATTTATCTTCTCCAATGCTCAATAAGCATACAGGCACCCTACTCCACACAAGGGCAATCCAGTCCCACTCTCTTCAAACACGTTGGGGCCAGGTCACTTACCCACCTAACACGTAGCCAAATTCGCAAGAATAAAATATGACCCTTGAAAAATTTAATTTTTTTTTCCTTATGTTTTTCCTTGAACGTCATAAAAAACATTTAGTAAACCAAAAGAAAAGTAATAAAAAAGGAAAAATAATTTGAGAATAAATTCATTTAAAAACGAAATTAATACCGACACAACATAATATCATATAGCATTGTTTTAATAATAATATTCTCTATTAATATGAAACTCTTTTAATAATATTTTCACTAGATTGAGAAATAGAATGAACGTAGAAGTTGAGGGATTGAATTGAAACAAAAAACTGTAATAAGATTAAAATGAAACAAGAATGAAAAGTAGGGTGATCAGAAAACACAATCTCACCTCTATTATTTAACAAATCCCACCAATCATCATTTTAATTGGATCGTGAAACACAGCCTCTCGAAAAGCGCGTGAAAGAATACCATTTTTTCGGTTCCAAATCGACAAAGTAGCTGTTAGAAAGAGCACTTGGCAACTTGCGAACATGTTGTTGTTTTCTTACGAGTACTCTTCCATGTCTTCACTTGAGTTGTTCTGTTTTTCTCGTAAGCACAAAAGAATCGTCACTTATAGTAGTTTTTTTTCAATTAAGTCCCTTGATTTTAACGTCATGCAATTTAAATATACAATGTTTCTTGAACTGACAATCAAGTTCCTCAATCACATTTGTTGAGGAACTTGATTAGGATGTGAATTTGAGATAATTTTCATAAGCTGGTTTTTGAGAGTATAGTTATAAGTGTTTTTTAAAATATTTTTTATTTTTTAAAATTATTTTTTACGTTAATGTATCAAAATGATATAAAAAATACCAAAAACATATAAATTTAAAATAAAGTAAAAAAATATATAAAAATTCAATTTTTTTATAAACACTTTTAAAATATAAAAAAAAAACAAAATAGAAGTGTATTTTGAGCATCAAAATAAAGCTACCAATAAGATTCATATATTTTAAATTTATTTGAGTTTCGACTCTTTTTCCAGAGGAAAATAATGATATACTTTCACAATTATAATAGCTTTATCATTTTTTTTTCAATGTAAAATGTAATATTTTTAGATTTTCTATTAATCACTTAATTAAATCTTAGAAAGAAACATGCAGAAAAGTATCATAAGTTCTATGAATATAAATAAAGAAATTTAGAAATAAAATAAATAATATGTTTTTTTTTAATTTGACCTTAATGCGCAAAAACATCTATAACCAATACAGGAGACGTATAGAAGTGTGAAAATAATTGTTTTTTAAAATATTTTTTGTTTAGAAATATATCATAATAAATTTTTTATTTTTTAAAAAATAGTGTTAAATAAAAAATAAAAAACAATTGATGAAAAAAAAAAGTTGAAACACCCCGTTAAACATACCCATAATACAAATAAATATATAAAAAATTACAGATTTTAATCCTGTATTAAAACCAATATAATTCCATGATTACTGTTTATACATGTATTTTTCTTAGTCCCAATCAGTATATAAGATAAAATAAAAAAGATATATCCTATGTTGAAATTGAGCCATGGGATCCCTTTTGTTTTAAAAAGAAAATGCACCTTTTTGGGCCAATTACCAATCATTTTTCACTTTATTTCCTTTTCTGGTATCCCAAAGTTTTGTTTGTGTATGACATAATATAGTTTCATGAGGCTATTTCAAAATTGAAAATTGCAATTTCCTCTTTATATTTTGTAAGCTGGCATAGGATAGTAATGGGACACCACAAATAACCACTCACAATTAGACGACTACTAAATTTTAACAAGACACACCTTCTTATATTTGTGCTTGTAATATTTTTTAATGTTGTAATTTTTTTATAAAAAATAGATTTTAAAAAATACTTTTAGTTTTATTTTAAAAAATATGTTAAAACATATATATTTGTTTAAAATTATTAAAATTATTATTTTAATATATTCTTATTTAAAAAATACTTAAAAAAACATGCACTGTTATAAACTCGGCTTACCAAACTGTTTGTTCCGTCTTGTTTGGGTGGGGTAGGAAGCTACCATGGTACCAAACGGTATTTTAATAGCCTTTAGGGACTAAGATGAAATAAGCGTGACAATCTCAGTACTGGATTGTAGTTCTTCATTTGTCGAGTCGAGCTGAGAAAAAGAGCAGCCTTTTTTAACACTACAAAGAAAGATAGCCCGAAATGGAATGCGTTATTCGAAACAACGTGAAAGTGAAATCTCCACTCTCCATTTTTCTTTAGTGTCTTCATCTTCTTCTTGTGCTATATATTCCCATTTTTGGACCAGACCCTTTGATGTGTATTTATTATTATAAGAATTACTTCTTGAAGGCGGGGGTGGTAGCGTGCTAGCTACTTGTTCCTCAAAAGGAGAGGAATCATTCTGTTCACTTTGTTAAGCGGAAAAATTTTCCAAACATTTGTTAATTCAATTGCTCAGCATTTTTTTTTTTGAAGATTGAGAGGTCAATATAGCATTGGAGATAAGGAAAGAAGCTGGTTAATAGTAAGCAAATTATTTGTTTTTGAGATCCTTTTCTTTACCTTTTGGGTTGATTTTTTTTCCTTTTTTTTTTATATGTTTTCTGGGTTCTGGTGTGTGCAATAGTTGTTGAATTGTGACCCAGATGGAAAAAGTTATTGAATTTGGAGATTAATTTGATGTTTGATGAGGACTAGTTTAATTTTGATTGATTTGCTTTGTATGTATAAAAAGACGATCTTTTGTGAGATTTTACTCGATAAGTTGTTATCTTTTGACGTTTAGGTGTGTTTTTCATTGAAAGGAGCCATTGGATGTTAAATATAGTGGTTGAATTTTTTATATGTTTTTTTAAATTTGCTTGAGAAGTTGTTTATTTTTAATGTTTTATGTAAGGGTTCTGTTTTGCTTTGTTTTTTTTTTCGGTTGAAGGTATAAATGGCAACGCTCGCAGATATAACGGTTTCCGGAGCTATAAATGTACTGAGTGCATTCATTTTCTTATTGGCGTTTGCAATTTTGAGGCTGCAACCTCTCAATGATAGAGTTTACTTTCCAAAATGGTATCTGAAGGGCGTAAGAGGCAGTCCCTTGCGCTCTGGGGCGCTTGTTCGTAGGGTTGTGAATTTAGACTTCAGGTCATATATCCGGTTTTTAAATTGGATGCCGGAAGCGCTTAAAATGCCGGAGCCCGAGCTTGTTGATCATGCAGGATTGGATTATGCTGTTTACTTGCGCATTTACTTGATGGGGTAATCCATTTTCCTTTTGTTTCTCGCTCCTTTTCTATTCTCATTTGTTGATGAAAGATTGGATGCTGTACTTGTGCTGTCTAGATGTTTCTGAAAATGTTTATGTCATTTTTTATTATGTGCTGAGCTCGATTTTGTTGCCTACGCAGACTTAAGATTTTTGTACCTATAGCATTCGTTGCTTTGGCTATCCTGGTGCCAGTCAATTACACCAATAATGCTCTAGAGGCAGTCAAGATGGTGGCCAACGTGACTGCTAGTGACATTGACAAGCTTTCAATTTCGAATATACCACTTAAATCACAAAGGTAGGAATCCATCCTCCTTTGCTAACATCTGCTTCCTTGTCATCTCCGGGTTTTGATGAATCTTGATATTTTCAGATATTTTTACCACAATTATCTTACTATCTTATATAGCATAATGACCATTTATGGATAACTAGATGCATATATTATTCTGTATCTGTAGAATATTTATTAATTGCTAATTTATCAAAACCAAGAGTAATTGTTTTCCACAAGACAATCATGCATTGTCTATTTCTGTGTGAACATATCCTACCATCTTCTACTTCTAGGAATATCTGCTCCTTTTCTTTTTCATTGTGCTCCTATAGTTATATTAATTGCATTGCAGATTTTGGACGCATATAGTGATGGCTTATGCCTTTACTTTCTGGACATGCTATGTGTTGCTTAGGGAGTATGAGATAGTTGCTTCGATGAGGTTGCAATTTCTTTCCTTGGAAAGACGTCGTCTAGATCAATTCACAGTAAGATGAACTATTTTCCTTTTTTATTTTATTTTTTGAATGTTTTTCCAGAGAAGTCGTTTTTGGAGAAGAAACTATGTGTTTTTGGGATCTGCACACTTCTTGATTATAACCTTTAAGAGTTCCAAATGGTTTGGACTTGAGTGGGTTGAAAAAAGACATACAACTTTTGCAAGAATGAAGTTCTGTGGAATATATGACTCATGCACTTTTAAATTCATAGGTGGCATAGCTACTGAGATCAATGTAGTCAACTATGTCTCTCCCACAACTTGGTTAGCTACCTCTCATTTTGTTCTCGGGTTCTTCCTATTCGTAGGTCATTTATGGCATGTGGAAGGGCTCATGCAGCTGCCACTGGATTTGAAAAAGGAATTGATCGTGATTTTGAGCTTGTTTTTTCCATGACTCCTCTTAACTAGTTAAGAAAAGAGATCCAATAGTTGAAGAAGGAATCCATTTGATTCTACTATGCATATTGATCGGGTCAATCATATCATACTTTGAGAGTCTGCCTTTTTTCCTTCAACCTTGAGCTCGTTCCTTAATTTCCCTTTGAAGAAATACATGCTGTTTATTTTTTTATGAAATCTTTTGAAACTGGCACGGGTTGTTAGTCCTAAAAAATGAGCTGAATTTGTTTGTCTAACAGTCACTTTCATCTTTGCTTAATGTTTTAGTGCAAATTCTAGCTACCCATCTTTCTCCATCCTTTTCCTATTCAAGAAACTAATCATGAGTTCACTCTTCCCAGGTCCTTGTTAGGAATGTACCTCCTGATCCAGATGAAACTGTCAGTGAGCTCTTGGAGCACTTTTTTCTAGTGAATCACCCAGATCATTACCTCACTCATCAGGTATGTTCCTGCTCAAACATAATTTATATCGTGATTAATCTTTGGTAGAAAGCTATGAATTTGATTGATGATATCATGAAATAATTCACATCAGTTTTGTTGTGCAAAATATAGGAAACCATTTGTTCAAATGTGTATGGTAGGCATCATGTGGATCAATAGGTGCTACTGGTATTTGATAAATTATACATCTTCAATGATTTTAAGTAACATTATGAGACATTCACTTGAATGCATTTGATCATAGCTTTTCCATATGTGCAAACGTTTGCCAGCTTCCATAAGTAAACTGCTTCCCTCAGCAATTGCTTGTTCCTTTCATGTTCTTGTCCTAATTTTATCTCTGGTGGTTTTGATGATCTACTGCAAACCTTAAAGTTTGATTGTGTCAAGTGCCAATTTTTATCCCAGAACTGACATTGAATTGAAAATGTATTTTTTCAGGGTTTGTGTGTCTGATTTGGAATTTTGTAAACCTTATAGTTAATTGCTTTAAATGCCAACATTTCATTCCATGCTGGACATAGAGACTTCATTCTTTCCAAATAGCAATTTAACAGAGAGTTGCTCCAATTAACTACTCTGCATTTATTGTCTTTGTACTCAACTACTCTGCATTTATTGTCTTTGGACTCATAAAAATGATAAAAAAGAAGTGCTAGGATTTTTTATTTGTTGAACTAAGAATGTGCACCTCCACGTGTTTTTATGAGTATGTTGTATTGCTGAGGTGATTTGTGGAAAATGTTGTTGTCATAAAGAACACAATTTTCTTGACTAGGTGAGTGTTGCAGCTCTTCCTAGCCTTTCTTTATTTGAATTAAACAGCAAGGGATAGGGAAAAGGTTTGGTGGGTTGAGGAGGCAACATGATCTATTGAGTGGCTTTAAATGGACCTTTTACTTGTTGGAGTATTCATTAAACCCTCAACCCTCACACTTTCTTATGCACCTGAAATTCTAGGATAGTTTGTACTTCAATTTGTAAATTTTTGTCTTATAAAAGTTTTAATGCAGGTGGTGTGCAATGCCAACAAACTAGCCAGCTTGGTCAAGAAGAAGAAAAAAAGGCAGAACTGGCTTGACTACTACCAACTCAAGTACTCCAGGACTCAATCGCGGAGGCCTCAGATGAAGGTAGTTCTCAAAATGCAATCTGATATATCTTAAGAAGTTACTGCCTCTTGTCCAAATCTACTGCCTGTTACTTTTGCCTAAACCTAATTTTTGTTTAGACCTCAACGCTTATGGTTATTGGATGTTTCAGACTGGTTTCCTTGGGCATTTTGGGGGAAAAGTGGATGCAATCGATCATCACATATCAGAGATTGAGGAACTGTCACAAGAAGTAAGCCTCTAGCACCAATTTCTTGTCTAAATTCCCTGATCTTTCAAAAATTTTGAACCTTTTGTTTTATCATCTTTGTTATGCATATACATCTGGAACCTCTTTTTCAAAAGTCCATGAAGTGTATTAGTTGGTTTTAGGCTCACTCTAATGAGTTAGAGATGCTGCATATTCTCACCAATTATTATTTGCATTACCACTCTAATTTGGGTCCCGGATCGTTTTGTTATTATTCAGATAGAAGAAGAGAGGACAAGGGTTTTAAAGGATCCAAAGTCTATCATGCCAGCAGCATTTGTTTCATTCAAGACTCGATGGGGTGCAGCTGTGTGTGCACAAACTCAACAATCAAGAAATCCAACTTTGTGGTTAACAGAGTGGGCTCCGGAGCCACGAGATATATATTGGAAAAACTTAGCCATTCCGTACATGTCACTGAAAGTTAGGAGGCTGATAATTGGAGTTGCATTCCTTTTACTTACCTTCTTTTTCATAATACCTATTGCATCTGTACAAGCTCTAGCAAGTATTGAGGGAATAGAAAAAAGAGCCCCTTTTCTGAAGTCTGTTATCGAAATGTACGTTTCTTCCATCACAGTGCCTTCTGACTTAGTTGCAAGTTTTCTTTGTTAGAAATTACTAATTGTTTCTTTATTTATTATGCAGAAAATTTATCAAATCTGTTATCCAAGGTTTTCTTCCTGGCATTGTGTTGAAGCTCTTCCTTATCTTCCTACCAACAATATTGATGATCATGTCTAAATTTGAAGGCTTCATATCTCTATCATCTTTGGAAAGGAGATCAGCAACGAGAAATTATATTTTCCTCATTATCAATGTATTCCTTGGGAGCATACTCACTGGAGCTGCATTTGAACAGCTAAATTCTTTTATTAAGCAGTCTGCTAACGAGTATGTTACTCTTACATATTGATTAAATATTCATGTCGTCATTATTTAATTACTCCATTAGGGTGTATGCATAATTAAGTATGAATGTGTGTTCATAGCATGTGCCTTCAAAGGACTTCCAATAACATATATTTTATTAACAGTAATTTTTTTTTAATCCTCCCATCAGTGATTTATTTTTTTATCTCACTTTTCATTAATCTAGAATCCCATTATACTGACTGATTTGATAGATATTCCCATATTCATGATTTCTTCCCTTTTCCTGATATGAAGCTCATAGGGTCTACATGAATATGTTTTCATTTTATCATCTACAACTTCCCTTAAGTTTTTATTATATTTTTCTTCTTTTCTCATTTCTTCATTTATTTATGTGGCAGAATTCCTAAAACAATTGGTGTAGCTGTTCCAATGAAAGCAACTTTCTTTATAACCTATATAATGGTTGATGGATGGGCTGGGATTGCTGGGGAAGTGTTAATGTTGAAACCACTGATATTCTACCACTTGAAAAATTTCCTTTTGGTGAAGACTGAAAAAGACAGGGAAGAGGCCATGGATCCTGGAAGTCTTGGTTTTCACACTGGTGAACCCCGTATACAGTTATATTTTCTGCTAGGGCTTGTATATGCAACAGTGACACCAGTTCTCCTTCCATTCATAATTATTTTCTTTGCCTTCGCCTATTTAGTGTTCCGTCATCAGGTAACAAGTTGATACTATTGGATATGTGATGTTCAATCCAAGAACAATTCAATTGCATATGGTTAATGCCTTGTGCCAACTAAATGTTCAAATCCCGACAACTTAATCCAACTTGGAAGATTTACTGGACCAAGGTTCAGTACAATTGGATACAATTTATTCATCTTTTCCCTATCTTTTCCCTATTCAGATCATAAATGTTTACAACCAAGAGTATGAAAGTGGTGCAGCATTCTGGCCTGATGTCCATGGGCGTATTATTACTGGGCTGGTAATCTCACAGCTTGCTCTGATGGGATTACTGGGTACAAAAGAAGCTGCACAGTCAACACCATTCCTCATTTCTCTCCCTGTCCTCACTATATGGTTTCATATGTTCTGCAATGGACGCCACAAATCTGCATTTGTCAAATATCCATTACAGGTGTGTTGGTGTCTGCATACTGTGGAGTTGATGCTTTTTGTTTGCTTTGATTTTTCTGTACTCCCTTGTTTGCTCTCAATTGATTTGCCTGCATAATACTGATTCAATTGATTTGCCGCTTTGATTTTTCTGTACTCCCTTGTTTGCTCTCAATTGATTTGCCTGCATAATACTGATAATTTCTTATATGAAATTATGAATTTATTTTAGTATATCATCTGCATATATGTCAATATAGAGTAGCTGAAAATGTTCCGTTACAAACTCAGGTTATGTTCTATGTATGGCCAACCCTGGCATTTGATACTATCAATAAGTTTAGTTTAATTAACTCGAAGCCTTTCAAGTTATTTGATTGATTGATGTGCTAATGAATAGTTTATTTAGATTGTAGAAAAATTACTCAAAAGTTGCACCTGCACACCACTAATCTCGTCGTCTTGAACCATGGTTTTCAGGAAGCAATGATGAAAGATACCCTGGAACGAGCAAGGGATCCAAACTTTAATCTGAAATCTTACCTTCATAGTGCATATGTTCATCCAATTTTCAAAGGTGACGATGATGATGAAGACGACTTGAGCGTTGAGATGGAAACTGAGAGTGTCTTAGTGCCTACAAAACGTCAATCGCAAAGAAATACACCAGTACCAAGCAAAATCAGCGGGGGATACTCACCATCTTTGCCGGAGGCAGTTGAAAATGGAGAGCTTTGAAATGAAGATCGTTAAATATGACACGTGCATGAATACACCTCGCTGTACATTTGACACAATCCATTGCCAGGAGACAGTGATCTGTTGTAAATTAAAGGAGTCACAAAGAGCAAAGTTTTTTCATAGAGGGAAAAGGAAGAAGGGCCTGGTGAAATTTCTGACACGAAATCGTGTTCTGGATTTTATCGCAACGAATGGTCCTTCAAACATCAAAGACAAATATAGATGAATGATAGCATGGTAAAAACAAGATAATGTGTGGATTTCTAAATTTTGATTTTTACAACTATATATATGTTAATTGTCATATTCAATGAAAAAATTATTGGTGAAAAGATTACCGGGGAGACTTTGGTTCCCCCTTGTCTCTGCTCATAGCTTGGGCCATTTTATACTTGGTTTTGTTGCTCATTATATGGTACAAGTAGTGGTGTTTAAAAAAACTAACTTATTGATTAATCTGAAAAACATCAAGAAAAAATTAAACCAATAGAAAAATGTGAATAAACAAATTAAAAAATAAAAAGAACTACGTGGTTATGTTTTGTTTCAATTTAAAAAAGTTTAAATTGATTGAAACAAAAAATCAATTTAAAAAAAGTATAAAAAAAAATCATTTCTAATTTTAAATCACTTTTTTTTTTCTTTTTAGCCACCAACCCTTTTTCTTTTTAGCCTTCTTTATTTTTCATTTCCTAACCTTTTCCTTTCTTTTTTCTCAAACCTTTCCTTCCCTTTTTTTCATTCCTAGCCTTTCTCTTTTTCATTTCTAAACCTTTTTTCTTTCTTTCCAAAACCCTAAATCACTCTTCTTTTCCGGTCACCACCCCCCTCAAGCCTTTCCTCTTCTTTTTTTTCATTCCTAACCTTCTCCTTCTAGTTTCACAGTCCAGATGTGAGGGAACCATTATTCAAGAAATCCTGTCTTTGATAGTTATACAATATAATTTATACTAGTTCTATCCTTGTACAGGGAAGAGGCAGGCTTTAAAATTCTCTACATGCTCTAAAAGAAAAGGCTTTGCTAAAGCCAATAAGATATTCACAGCTGGCAAAAGAGCCAAAGACCCCAAAAAATTTATGGTCAACCAACTCTCTCTGAGACCTCCCTTTCCCTTTCCCTTTTTCTTTTCTCAACCTTCCCCTTCCTACCTCTTATGTGGAAGACTTTGATTGTTGGTTGCTTTTCTTGAATTTCTAAGTGGTTGTTGTGATTAATAGCTTATATTAATATTTGATGTTAAATTTTTCTTTGATTTAGCTCAATGATGAAGATTAGTCTAGTTTTTCTAGTTTTTATGTTAAAAAACTAACTCGAACTAAACAAAACAGGTTCAGTTTGAATTGTTTCTCGATTCTATTCGGGTTATATTAATAAGAAATACTATTTTCTAGCTCGATTGAATTTTTTGGCTTAAAACTATATCGAATCAGACCGTGAACATCTTTAGGTACAAGTGTCACCTTACTACATGTATCATAACACTCCTTCATAAGCATACGGGCTCCCTACACAATGACAATCTACTTGCTACTTTCTACTTCCTCAATTTTTCAAACATACGGGGGCAAGTCATTTTTTCACCTAAGACGTATCTCACTTCTCAAATGGACAATAACTATAAAAAGATCAAATTGTCTCTTACTTCAACTCAAAGTCACCATCGAACTTTAGTGTGGAGGGTTTTCTCAAGGTTTCTATATATTATTTACTGTTTTTGATGATGTTTCAAAAAATTCAATAGTTTAAGAATAATATTTATAGGGACTTTAGCATGGAGGGTTTTCCTAGGGTTTCTACCTATTATTTATTATTTTTTATGATGTTTTAAAAAATTCAATAGTTTAAAAATAATATTTATATGTTGGATAATTAATTAATCAATTGGTTCCAATAATCTACTTTACTTTCTTTAGCCAAAATTGTCAAAATAGGTATAGCTCGATGTGAAAATCTAAGTACCTATGAAAGGTCTCTATGATAGATCGTGAGACTCTTAGATATTTAAGTAAGTATATTTAAAAAGAGAGACAATGCAATTATATTTTAAAGAGAAATATTCTGAAAATATATATGTAATCAATAATAAAGATTATAAACTCTTTATCTAGATGGTTCGGGTGGTGTTTATAACCCTTGAACCTTATTCTTTTGCTAGAGTTGAGGGGTTATAAAGTCATTCCACCCTTACAAATTAATTTTGTATTGTGAGTTGTATTTCACTCAATTTACCCAATATACCACATCTACACACTTATCTTCTAATGAATTTATTAAGCTAAAAGATGGAGACGTGGTAGGTCATGAGAGACTTTTATATACCTGATAATATAGGTGGAGTAGGATCCAAGCAAAGATGACTTGGGGAGACAAGCGCTAGACGAGGAGAGTTAGACGCGAAGCTAGAGCTTAGTAAAAAATTTCAAAGGTTAAATATTAGGCCTAAGCCATAAGTCCAAACCCAAACAATGCATTAGTCTGGTAAAGTGCTAAGTCCAAGGAAGGTTGAACCTAGTAGGCCACAAGGCCTATAAAGGGTTAGGTTTAGGAAGGGTGCCAAGTCCAAGAAGATTGACACTAGTAGGTTGGTATGTCTATAATAAGTGGGCCTAGTTAAGGTGTCAACCCTAGAAGGGTTGGACTTGGTAGGGTGGGAGGTCTTATAGTGTTTGAGCTTGAGGTCTATAAAGGTTTGGCTTCATAGGGTACCAGGCTTATAATATTTGGAATGATAGGGTGTTAGTCTTATGATGGTTGGGTATGTTGGGGTGCTAAAGCCAATGTGATATTACTGAAATATCTAGTTTTATTAGTAGCTCTCAAATCTTTGCGATATAAAATACGTAAAGATCTAATTACCCAATATCTTAGACAAGATGGTGATCTTTTTTCTCATATGAGAAGAGGTGTGAAAACATCAGGGTAATGTACTAGAGAACTTATATATAACAGCATGCACCATGTTTAAAAGAAATTTTAAATGCACAGAGGAGATCAATAGAGGAACTCATACTTAAATTTTTTTTCTAAAAGGTCGAGGAGAGTGAACTTATAATAATGTTCATATCTGGAAAAAATAATTTTTTAAAAAAGGAAACGGACCTATGAAAAAGGAGTTTACACTTAAAAGAATTTTTAAGGGTTAGAGGGGAGTGAACCCATGATGAAACCTATACTCAGCTAAAATGTGAAGATGACAATCCTATTAAAGAGGAGCCTATACTCATTTTTTTTCTTTAGAAACTATGGGTTCCATACTTATATTTTTGAAATATATAAGAGGTCGAGGGGAACTTGTGGCGACATCTATACTTAGAAAAATTTCAAATAGATAGAGGGGAACAAACTTATAGTGATGCCCATAGTTAGAAAAAATTTTAAAAGATGGATAGAAGAGAACCTATAACGACGCTCATACTTAAATTTTTTTATAAAAAAGCAAGTGAGATGGAGCAATGAAGAAGGATCCTATACTTTAAAAATTTCTAAGAGGCCGAGGGGATCAAACTTATAATGATGCTCATACTTAGAAAAAATTATAAGAGGTGGAAGGGACAAACCAATAGAGGAAAAGCCTATACTTAGAAAAATTTCTAAAGGGTGGAAAGGAGTGAACTTTTAACAAGGTTCATGCTTATAAAATTTTCTTAGAAGTGGAGGGGATGAACCCATGAAGGAGGAACCTAAACTTAGAAAACTTTTAAGATGTTATATGTTTCACGGTTATACTTATAAAGATTATTAAGAGGTTGAGAGGAACAAACATGGTGATGCTCATACTTATAAAAAAATTTAAAAGATGAAGGGGATGAACCTGTGGAGGAGTAGCCTATACTTAGAAAAAAATTTAAGGGGTGAAAGGAAATGAACTTTTAATGATGCATATACTTAAATATATTTTTAAGAAACAAAGGAGATAAACCCATAAAGAAGAAACCTAAACTTAGAAAATTTCTAAAAGGCTATGAGTTTCATGCTAATACTTAGAAAAATTTCTAAGAGGCTAAAGGAAACCCATGATGATGTCCATACTTAGAAAAACTTATAAAAGATGGATAAAACAGACCTATGAAGAAAAAGCCTATACTTAAATTTTTTTTAAGAGGTTATGAGTTTCATGCCTATACTTAAAAAAAAATTTAAACGACTAAAGGAAACTTATGGCTATGCCTATACTTAAAAAAATTTAAGAGGAAAAAGAGAATGAACTCATAATGATGTATATCCTTATAAAATTTCTAAGGGGAAGAAAGAACAGATCCATGGTAGAGGAGCCTATATTTAAAAAATTTCTAAACTGTTATGAGTTCCCTGCTCATACTTAAAAGAATTTCTAAAAAGACGAGGGAAACTCATTGCTATATCCATATCTATAAAAGTTTCTAAAAGATAAGAGAAATAAACCTATAGAGACATCGATACTTAGAAAAATTTCTAAGGATTGAAGAGAACATACCCATGAAGAAGGAGATTATACTTTAAAAAAAATTTAAGATGTAGAGGGGAAAAACTAATGGAGAAGGAGCCTATACTTAAAAAATTTCTAAAAGGCTAAGAGGAACCCATGACAAGACCTATACTTAAAATTTTTTTATAAAAGATAGAGAAGATAAACTTATAAACAAGGAGCCTATAGTTAAAAAAAAAAAATTCCAAGAGACTGAAGGGAACCTATACTTGGAAAAGTTTTTAAAAAGGTGAGGGTTCCACATCTATGCTTAGAAAAATTACTAAAAAGTAAAGAAAAACTCATATTGGGTCATTCCTTATGATAGTATGAGGTTCAAATGCCCTATTTTGATTTGAGATCTTATTAGAGAATGATAGGCTATAGTGATTCGTTAGGCATTAAACCTCATATTAGAGAATGGTCACATGTGGGAGGTCTGATGGCCTTTATAGCGATACATGAGGCGTGGTAACCATCCATTAGAAAATGGTTGCATTTAAGTGTAATAGGTATATTATCTCCTTACTGATGACATACGATGTAGGAACTCTTCACTAAAAAGTGGCCAGTGAAATGTAGGAGGCCTATTGAACTATGTAGCGATGACGTGAGGTATGAGAGCCTTTTATTAGAAAGTTATCGCATTAGAGAGTGGAGGACCTATGGTCGTCATAGTAATGGCATGGGGTTCTGAAGCTCTTCATTAGAGAAAGGTCATACCTGAGAGTGGGAGATCCAAAGATTATCTTTGAAGATTATATGAGGCTTGAGAGCTCTACTAGATAGTTGTGCCAGTTCAAGATTATGCTAGAAAGGAAAAAGATCCAAGATCAATCCTTAGAGATTTTATAAAGCCCAAGAGCCTTATTAGAGAGTCATGACAATCTAGGATTACATTGAAGAGACAAGATATCCAATATTAATCTCTGAAGTTT